AAACATTCAGACTTTTTTTTTTTTTTTTTTTGTACCGAGGATTGAACTCAGAGGCACTCAACCACTGAGCCACATCCCCATCCCATTTTGTTTTTTACTTGGAGACAGGGTCTCTCTGAGTTGCTTAGTGATCTCACCATTGCTGAGGCTGGCTTTGAACTCATGATCCTCCTGCCTCAGTCTCCCAAGCCAACAGGATTACAAGCATGTGCCATCATACTGGCTAGACTTCTTTTTATCTCATCAGTTTTCCCTAAACACTATGGTTTAACAACTATTCATGTGGCATTTACATTGTATTAGATGCTACAAGTCGTCTAAGTACATGTGCATAGCTTATATGCAAATGCTATGCCATTTTATATAAGGAACTTGAGCATCCACAGATTTTTGGTACCCAAGGTGGAATCAATCAATCCTCCGTGGATACTGAGGGATGACTGTATATGGAGGTGTATTACATCTGGTGATGACTAAAGTGAAGGAGCAAATCTATAGAAAGAGTTTTTTCCCTTATGGTATTTTTTAAAAATGTTGAACCAATGCCAGTAAGGGCTCCTGCCTGCCTGCTCCAGATTTCTTGTTATGTGAACATGTAAGCCCAAATTGGTTGGAGCTATTGTTAGTTAGGTGCTCTTTACTTGCAGCCAAGAGCTATCCTGATGTAGCATTCTGTCATGTGTTTATTGTCTGTTGGTTCCTTATTTTTTATCGCTGAAAATTATCTGCTTATTTCTTTAGCCTGTTTTTATATTGCATTATTTTCTTTTTTTCTTATTGTGTCATAGGAGAAATTTACATATTAGAGAAGTCATCCCTCTGTCTGAAATATGTGGGCATGACTATTTCTTTAGTATATGGTCATTTTAACTTTCTTTTCAGTAAATTTATGCTATACATGGTTTTTCCATTTTAACGTAGTCATATTTGTCTACACCTTCTTTTGTGGACTTTGAGTTACGTGTCATTTTTAGAAATGCCTTAACTATTTCAGAAGTATGAGAATATCAATCTGTGGGATTTAAAGATTATTTTATGTTCATCACTTGCTTTGTTAAACTTTTTCTATTTTCTTTGTTGTGCTTAAACTGTTATCATTTGTTATATTTATATTTGCTTTGGCATAGAACAAATTATATTTTGTAATATTAAAACCGGATATAAGAACAAAGTTAAAAATAGTAACAGGTAGCATTAAACAGCAGGCACAAAGTATCGTCTCATTTAATTTTCATATTAGAAACCAGATAATTGTTGTTGTTGTTCTTGGTACATGTTTGCTTTAGATGGTGTTTTTCTGGGTTTTCCAGTGGGGTCTCAAAACTTCTGGGCTCAAGCAATCTTCCTGCTTCAACTTCCTGAGTAGCTGGGTCTGCAGGTGTGCTCCAACTGCACCCAGCAGGAAAGTATAGACAACATGATCATCTTCCTTTCAGAGGTAAGGAGCTGAAGTTTACAGAGACCTTACCAAAGGTCCCACAGCTACTGTGGAAGTGGCCAAGGTTTGAGCTCACACGATCTGAGTACAGAATTCATACTCAACCACTACACATCTATAAGATTATGACAGCTCCCACTTATTTCTCAATTAGATGTCTGTTCTTTTCCTCAATTATAAGCACCATATGGTGTTTCTGGCTTTAGAAAATGGTTCATGAGATTTGTTTGATTCCACCAATTCTGCATTTGATTCCTACTTCCTCTTTGTTTTAATCACCAAACTTTTTCTAGGACCTGGGACTTGGAGTGATCCGGCGATGTTGGTTAGTGCTGGCTCCCCCAAGTTCTTCAGGTTGGGGCTATTTTTATAGCAGAGATATTTTTGTTCTGTTTTGTTTAGATTTTCCAGTACTGGAGATTGAATCCAGCACCTCCTATAGTGGCAAGTGCTCTGCCCCTGAGCTACATCCCCAGTCCTTTTAATAAAATTAACTAATTAATCAATTCTCTGAGATAGACTTGCTAAGTTTTCCAGGCTGGCCTTGAACTTGTGATCCTTCTGCCTCCAGGATTCAGAGTTCCCCACACTCCCTTCTCTTTTCCCCTGGGGGTTTCCGTCTGAATGCACCCTATTCTGGGATTACAGGCGCCACCACACCCACATGTGGCACTTGGGATTTATTTTAATCAGGTTTAGCAGGACCCACAGACCTGGAAGTGCCTGTGATGAAGGAAGAAGCGTACTATAGCCACAAATCCTAGGACAAGGAGGCAGGACCCTCCAGGCAGGAAAGCACCAGGGTCATCAGGAGGTAGAGGAGACCAGGGAAATAGAGGCAAGAGGCTTTATTGGGGATTTTGCAGGAGGGAACAGTTGAGCAGGTTGAGCACTTTTAGGATGGACCAGTTTGAATGCTTCCTGCAGCTCTGGGGCGGAGGGCTGCCTCTGGTTGTCTAGAACCTGGCCCTTGGGGTGATTGTGGCAGGGGACTATGACTCTGAGTTTGAGAGCCTAACAAAGGAGGGGGTTGAGGTGTGGGCTCTGGGCCGGTTGGTTTGTGTAGGAAAGACAAGCCGGCAGGAGAGTGGATTGTTAACTCCAGGAATGAGCAGGTCCTGGGGTGGGGGTGGGGGGGCAGGCCCCAGAGCCAGCAGTCCCCAAGATGTCACAACGTCAAAAACACAAAACACAAAGGCACGAGTGGGACATGGTAATTCTCGCCCTGTTGCCCCTGTACTTTTCTTACTTCTGGCAACGTCTCCCACTTCTCTCTAAGCTACAACAGGGGTCACAGATTTCCTCCTGTAATTGCCTGTCTGCCTTTAGCGATGAGCTGAGGGGCTGCATCTGACCCCAAGCACTCAAAGACCATTGTGAGATTTTGAAAGGTGAACCATGATTAGGAAAGAATAGGGTTGCCATGTAGAAGCGGAGTGTGTGTGTGGGGGCGGGGTGCATTGTGGGGTGGACCCGGGACCTTTGAATCCTGGATCCAGTTATCTCTGTCTTGATAATGAGACACATTCATGTGCTTTCCCCCCCCTAAATTAATGTGAATTCTCCATTTGCATTTTATCTTTATGGATGAGAAAAATACATGAGCATCTGAACTTATTCTTGGAAAGTTCCATGCTGGCTTTCTAAGGGGTGCTCAACACCTAAGCATCTCTTCCCTATCAGATGGAACTTCAGTGATTTAAGAACTGATACATACAATTTCCTCTGAGGTGCCCAGATGAAAAGTAAGAGTCCATTTTTGAAGGCAAAATAAAAAATGGGCAGATTTTCAGTTGGGTTTGTTTATTTATTTATGCCCAAGCTGGGAATGGAACCCAGGGCCTCATGCATGCCAGGCAAGTGCTCTACCACTAAGCTCTGCCCCCAGCCCTAATCAAGAAGTTGTTTTAAGAAGTTGTATTTGAACATACTTATAATAATGCAAAAGCAAGTATTTATATTTGACAAGACTCTAGTGTGGGGAGAGCCCTGGTAGACTCCATAGTCTGCTAAGGTCCTTGGAATCCAAACTAGGTCCCGAGAATGTGACACTGTAGACAATTAGGCAAATCATTCTCCAAGAAATACCGTGCTCTACCTACCTACCCAAGAAAGAAATACTAACAGGAGATCATCTGTGCTGTGTGCTTCTGATGCCTGGAAATGAGACCTGTTTGGGAACCGTAAGTGGAATACCAGGAATCTCAATGTGCTCACTCGATAAGAAGACAGTCTGGCTCCACTATCAAAGACATGATCAGAAATTGCCACTTAGTGGTCTAATACCATTGGCTCATCCCATGCTGGCGAGACTCTCAGTGACTCAGTGATTCTCTCTTGCTTTTGTTTACCTTATTTCTAATCTTGTTTCACATGCAACTTTCTTTTTAATGTTCAAGATTTTTTTTCTTTTTTTTTTTTTTGGTACTAGGGATTGAACTCAGGGGCACTTGATCACTGAGCCACATCCCTAGCCCTATTTTGTATTTTACTTAGAGACAGGGTCTCACTGAGTTGCTTAGCACCTGGCTTTTGCGGAAGCTGGCTTTGAACTCCCAGTTCTCCTGCCTCAGCCTCCCAAGCCACTGAGATTATAGGAGTGCAGCACCATGCTCGGCTGGATTTTTAAAAGAAAAAAAAAATTGCTATGATTTTGATGTGGTTTGTCCCCCAAGGTTTCATATATTGGAAGCTTGGTCCCCAGGTGGCAGTGTTGAGAGATGGAATAGAACTCATGTCCTCGGAAGAGATTAAGATGATTTTCATGCAATCCATGGTTTGTGTCTCACAAAAGTTTTTACAAAAGAATAAGCCTAGCTACTCCACAGCCCCTTTGACTTCCAATCTGGTGATTGATCTTTTGCACATCTCTCACCATTGTGAAGCCCTCCCTGAGCCATGTTGATGCAGGTGCTATGACCTTGAACCAAGAGAATGGTGAGCTGAATAGACCTCTCTTCTTTTTAAGTGATCCAGCTTCAGATATTTCATTACAGTAACAGAAAATGGACTAATGTGTAGACATTATAGACACCCTTGTCCTGTTACTCATCTTTTCACAAAGGAAATCAAACTCCAGATGAAAGACAGGCACTTACCCAGCTATCAGTACAATTTTAAAAGAGAACTTGGATTGTTTCCTTGGGTTATTAAGCTGAAAGGCATTGCAGGTCAGGAGTTGGGGGAGGGGGATTGGTTGGCCATGAGTGTGATAATACAGCATGAACCATAGTCACACCCACTTATGTTTCTTCTTAGCTCTGTCTTTGGGAATTAGGATAATATTCCAATGGGTATTTTACTCCTGAATTCACTAATAAAAAATGACTTTTGAAGAACAAAATGGAAATCTTCTGTAGACATTTCTGATATGAAAATATTATTAGCATCACAAAGCAAGCCCCTTCCTTCCTCCCTCCCTCCCTCCCTCCCTTCCTCCCTCCCTTCCTTCCTTCCTGTGCCTGATGGCTTCCTTCCTTTCTTGTCTGACACCTGACCACACTATTCCATGAGACACAGGTGGGGCATTGTCTCTAGGGTTCTTTCCACCATGTTCCTGGAACCCTGCAGTGGGAGACAAGTGAAGGAGAGGAACTTCTTTCATCTCCATGCACACCCAATTCGTGAACAGAACTCAACCCTCAACAGCCTGCGGGTTGTTTGTCATTAATTCTTCATCCATCTATTCAGCGACAGGTTCAATCAACATTAAGTGCCAATTGTCTATGAATAAGGCGTTGCCTTTGCCCTCTTGTGGCTCTTGCCCGAGTTCTCCTAAATCTTGTTGTTGTTATGGGGATTGTGGCGCACACCCTTCTCAGGAGGAGCAAGTCCCAGGGGAGCATTTGCTAGGTGCCAGGTATGACCAGGTCCTCCCTGAGTCCCCTCCATCATAAGCTTTAGGGGTGATGAGTACTGTTACCTCCTCATTCCCTCCGGAGGAAAAGAAGGTTAATAGGTTCCAAGTGACGACTACCAGTCTACCAGGCTGTCTTGTGGCGGCGTCTCTTCTAGTAAAAACAAACCATAACAAGGACAAAACTCCAAATCTGTTTTTGGTTAGGCAAGGGCGATGCGGTCTTCCCCTGGAGTTTACCTCACTTAATTCTCTGCCTTCACCCAGCCCTGAGTGGTTGGTCGATGTTCTCAGAAATGTTCTGTTGGCCCTTGTCTCTTCCACCCATTCTGCCAGGGTGAACGAATACGATACCTACATCTGCAAGAGGTATAGACACACATGGAAAGACGGGTTCATTCTTCTGTCACTTTTTTTTAAATTTGCAGAATATACAATTGACCCTTCATAGCCATGGGTTCTGTATACATAAATTCAACTGTGTATCAAAAATATATAGAAAAATGATTACCCCTGTATACAAATACAGCTTCTCATCACTGGGACCAAAAGACCTGACAAGAACAATTTAGAGGAGGAAAAGTTTATTTTGTTCAGGCTGGGTGTGGTGACACACATCTGTAATCCCAGCAGCTCGGGAGGCTGAGGCAGGAGGATCACAAGTTCAAAGTCAGTCTCAGCAATTTAGCGAGGCCCCAAGCAACTTAGTGAGGCCCTGTCTATAAATAAAAAAATAAAAAGGACTGGGGTTATGGCTTAGTGGTTAAGCACCCCTGGGTTCAATTCCTAGTATCAAAAAAAAAAAAAAATAAAGAAAAGAAAATTTATTTTGTTCATAGTTGGCTGACTCCCTACCTCTGATCATGGTGAAAGGGCACGGTACAGGACAGCAGCTCAGTTCAGGACAGCCAGGAAGCTGAGAGAGACTTGAAGGCCAGGAACCAGGGATAATATAATCCCCAAGGGCACGTCCCCAGCCACCTACTTCCTCCAGCCATACCCTACCTGCCTACAATTACCACTCATTAATCCATTCAAGTGGATTAATCCACTGATTAGGTTACAGCTTTCATAATCTGATCCTTTCACTTAAAATGGCTTGTTTAACAACCTGTTTGTCTCTCAGATCTCCTCCTTTCTCATTCCTCCAGGCCCTTTGCTGGGTTTCTCCCACCACCTGGCTCCCAGGACCCTGCAGAGCAGCAGTAGGAACGGGGTTGGTTACAACAGAGCTACCTGACCACCAAGCCCAGGCCACAGAGCCGGATGAGCCCAGCTGCGTTGTGGCCCTGACTCTGACACTTCTCCGCTGTGAGGATGGCTTCACTGGCCCCCATGCACCCCTCAAGTTCCAGGGCTTCTTTGAAGCCTCAGAAGCCCCCAGTTCCCCAACCGGAAACCCCAAAGAAGAACCAAAAAGGGGCCAAGCCTCCGCCAAAAAACCACAATTCCCCCCGGGGAACCGGCAACCCCCAAGGGCCAAAACACCTTAACCCCCGCCGAAAGGAAACCCAAGGGGAACTGGGGTTGGGAACCCCAGTGGAAGCCCCGCCCTTCTCTGATCCAGGTTCCTTGGAGGCTCAATGGAAAGGCTGGGGAGAGCCACAGGCTGTGTGTGGGGAGGGGTTCAGGAAGTGGCCCCAGACTGGAAAGGAACAGGGTAACTGGGGCAGCCAGGTCCTCTGTTCCTGCCTGATGCTGGTGGAGTTTGTATCAGACCAGCAAGATCAAAAGAATAGCCATTCCAGTACTTGGAGGGACAGCGCTCCTTTCCTGGGCCCCGGAGGCTCCTGTTTCCAGTGATTTTTATGAAGGACTGTAGGGTGGAAGCAGTGTGGGGGAGGGTAGGAACAGGAAGGAGAGGGAAAGTGGGCAGAGCACGCAGGGGCAGGGGACAGGGCTTCTGCTTCGGGGCTGCCAGATCAAAGCAGGTTGTCTAGTTAAGTCTGAATTTCAGAGAAATGCAAATAAGCTCTTAGAATACAGATATCCCCAGTACTGCCTCTCTTCTTATAGACTAAATCTGGCAACCTTATCAGGTCATCACGAAGCTTCTACCTTTTGCAAAATGACCACTCTGTTCCTCACAGCTTCCGGGTGACGGCCACCCCCCCTTACCATCACCACATCCAAGTGTTTAGGGGACCTGCAATAATTTGGCAAATTGATTCACTTCCTCTGCATCTTGAGCACATCAGAGGCTTCCCTGCATTCGGGCTGGTTTTCAGTGAGCCTCCCTTTTAACACTGCTTTGCTAGAATAGATTTGTGAAATTCCTTTAGGCTTCTGTGTGTGTGTGGGGGGGTTGTTTAAAATTCAAGGTGCTCCGTGTATTTTAATCACATGTGAGTCACCTGGAAAACTTGCTACAATGCATATTCTAATTTAGTGAATCTGGGTGGGGCCTGAGATTCTGCATCTCTAACCCTTGGCAATGCCCCACCTGCTGATGTGTAACCGATGTGATTCTGCAATCTTTGTAATGTTTTGAATAACCAATTAAAAAAAAAAAAAAAGCAGAGAGTCCCCAGCTCGGCTCCCCTCCTTCCACAGACCTCAATTCACACGTGGCTCCTGTCAAGGTCTGAATTGAGTCCTCTCCCATCCCTACACCCCCAAGTTCATAGGCTGAAATCCTGAGATACTTCATTGACACACACAGAGGGAAGATCATCCCCAAGGAGAAGACAGCCACCTGAGAGCCAAAGGCAGAGGTCGCAGAGGAAAACAGCAGTGCTGCAGCCTTGACCTTGGACCTCCTGCAGCCAGAACTGAGATGGTAAACTTCTGTTAAGTCCCCCAGTCTGTGGTCCTTTGTTAGGCAGACTCAGGCAGGGTCCTTAGTGGAGTCCTGGGGCAGGGTCTCCTTAGGCGGCTTTGAAAATAAAGAAGCAACCCTTTAGGAATTTAGAAGCATGGTATTGATAACCAGGCCATCTTCCCACCGGCTTAGCTTGGGGCTGGGGATTGAGCTCAGGGGTAGAGCACTTGCCTAGCTGAGCTCAATCCCCAGCAGTAAAAGAGAAAAGGAAAGGGCTCCGCTAGGAGCCTAGAATTTAAGTACTGGACGGAAATGTGGATCTCACTTTTCTTTTAGCTCTTTTACACAGCTCATGAGCCTTCACAATCCCCAGGATGGAGAAACGATCAGGTGTGTTGATTCCCACAACTCAGATGAATAAACTGAATCACGTGTAGGTATCTTGTGTCTCCGTGGACCACGGGTTATGAAAAGAGGAAAGAAAGAATTTTTTATTTATTTATTTTTTTAAGAATGCAATTTCTACCTTTCAAAAAGTAAATCTTCATCAATTCAGGGAAAATCCAAGCAAATTTATCTTCTTCAGCATTCAGAGTTTTCTTCCCTCTCTTTACCCTGGGACTGGGTGACCTTTAGGGGTCTTAGAGAACATTGGGGAATGATGGAGAAAGGTATTGCTACCTGTCCACCCTGCATCCATGGCCCCTCCACTGAGGTCAGGAGGAAGAGTCTAGGCAGAGAGTGAAATGAGCTCCTGGGAACTTCCTGGGCAGCAGAGCACAAACAGCAGCCGTGGGGTTTTTGCTGAAACACTTAACAAAAGTTATTATAAAATTGGGACCTGAAGTCCAGAGGAAATTGGGACCTATGTGACACGGAGTCCATGACCTCTCCAAAGAAGGAAAACATCTTATCTATACTTTGGCCCAAAGGCTGCATGAAGGCCTCAGGAACACTGAGCACCTTACTACCTTCCCCAGGACTGGGCCGGAGCTGCATGCCTTCAACCTAGAGGTCCCTGTAGACCCTTGACAACAGCCAGACAGGCGCCACCCTCTCCCAGGTGGGAGAGCTTTACTTCACTCTGGTTTAATAACGTCTTCTATTTTGCCTTCACCTTCAAGCTGACCGTGAATCTCTTTCTTTGAATTCGTGAGAAAAAGCCCACCCGACCCATGTTCTGTGCGAAACCACGAAGCACAGATACTCCTGTCGGCATCTCTGAGGCCTTCATGTTGGAGCACACTGTTCTGCCCTTCATCTGACCTTGGGGCTCCTCCAGGTCCCTAGTTATTCATTAAGGGACATTTTATATGTCCTTCCTGTTTTCCTCTGGGCTGTCTCGAGCCTTTCCACTTAAGCCACCAGGCCACCATTTTAAGGGTGACTCCCTGTGGGTGAACTCTGCTGAGCCAGCAGCCTCCCCAGGTGAGACCCAGAGAGTGGACCATGATTTTCTCTGTTCCTGAATTTCCAGGGTATGAGGGAATCTCTAATTGGGGAATAGGTAGCGAATCCCTTCCCACAGCCCGACACTGCTGACTAATTCTAGCGTCCTCCCCATCCAGAGTCCCCCAGGTGCTCACTGTCCGCCCAAGGCCCTCTGTGCCCAGTCTGGGGTGGGCATGGCTTAGCAGTCTTACAGAGCTGGCACTTCCAGGAAACTGAGGCAGTGCTCAGGGTCCCCCCTTCAAATCCTGATTCTTGTGAACTGACTAGAAATATTTCGGATCTGTTGCTCACAATAATAGGCATGGATTTATTAGAAGGGATTGGAAAGGGGGAATGAGGACACTGTCCAGGGAGAGCTGATCATCTCAGAGAGGAGGGGGATGGTGTGCCTCTCCTGCACTCTGGTTTTATTGGGAGGTTCTGGGGAAGTTTCTAGAGAGCCCTTCCCAAGTCCACCTCTTGACTTTTGATTGACAGTAGAATGAAATCAGATTTTTTTTTTTTATGTCCCCACTGCCGTGACAACTCTAGGTCACTTTGGCCCATGCTGACCAGTTTTAGTTAGAACCTGTTTTTACAGATTTTATGGTAAGGGAGAATTATCCTTATCTCCTTGAGTTCTGGGATATGGTCAGGGTAACTTGTGTTCTTTCTATCGGCATTCTAGTGCCTGCATTTCTCTTGCAGATAACAGTGGTTTGCTGAGGAATGTAACACATCCTGTTGATTTAAGCCAGGAAGGGCTGCCGGTAAATTGCTCCCTCAAAATGAAAGCATGTGGGGGTCAGCCTGGAGGTCTCAGTCTATAGGACCATTCCCACAACCCCATGTTCCTACCACTCATGTCTGTCCCCTATCAGCAGCACCTGTTACTTATTATAATGCCTTTGGTCCATTTGAGAAGAAAGCAACCCAGGTTCTTGCAACTCAAAGAACATTTTCCCCCCTGAAACTATTGTTATAGGGTTTAAAATGCCCTCTTGAAATTCAAACATTGAATTAAGACTCCTTGACCTCTTGCTTTACTCATGAGCAATGGGTATAGAACACTAGCACTGCTTGAATTGGGGAGGAGAGAGGCAGGGTAAAGATGATTTTTTAAACTGCTAAGAATTATTTTATTACACATTAAATGCCTTTGCAAACCTCAAAGACTTAAAAAAATGTCCCCCCCGCCCCCCCCATAACATCAGGACTTATCCCTGCAGAGTTTGCAGTTTGCACTAGAGTCCCCAGGATGCCTGTTCAAACACAGACTCCTGCTCACAGGAGCCAAGAGGGAGTCACCATCAATGGGTGAATGGGTAAAGAAAATGGACCTATAGAATAAATTAGAAAGCAAGGGAATTTCTGAGTGTGTGATTCACGCCTGTAATCCCAGCAGCCCAGGAGGCTGAAGCAGGAGGATCACAACTTCAAAGCCATTCAGTGAGACCCTAACAACTTAGAGAGACCCTGTCTCAAAAAAAAAAAAAAAAAAAAAAGGGCTGGGTGTTGTGGCTCAGTGGTTAAACACCCCTGGGTTCGATCCCCAGTACATTCCCCCCAAAAGCAAGGTAACTCTGACACATGCTACACCAGGGTTGGACCTTGAGGACATTATGCTCAGTGAAAATAAGCCAGTCACAAAAGGATAAATACTGTATGAGTCCGCTCATATGAGCTACCTAGAGTAGTCAAATTCATAGACAGAAAGCAGAATGGTGGTGGCCTGGTGCTGGGGGTCAGGGATGGGAAATGATTGTTTAATGGGGACAGAGTTTCACTGTGGGAAGATGAAGGCAGTTTGAAGATGGATGGGGGTGATGGAGGCACAATAATGTGAATGTGCTCAATGCCACCGACCTGTGGGCCTAAAAATGATTAAGAGGATAAATTCTATGTTATGTACATTTTACCACGATTTCAGAAATTAAAAAATAATGAGAGAATCTTTTTTTCCCCCAATATTCACCCTTTAGTTTTAGGTGGCCACAATCTCTTTATTTTACATTTATGTGGTTCTGTGGATCGAACCCAGTGCCTCATGCGTGCTAGGCGAGCACTCTACCACTGAACCACAACCTCCGCCCCAGAGAATCTTAATTATATAAAAGAACACTCAGTCCTGTTCAATTCCAGGTCTCCTGCATCTTCCCAATGAAGCCAAAGAGCTTTTTTTTTTTTTTCCATAAACTCTCCAGGGGACTTTAAAAACCAATTTTCTATTAAAAGCCTTCATTGAGATGTAGTAGTAGGAAGGCAAAGGCTGGGGAATGAGGAAGAGATCAGTCATTAGGGAAAGGCGCTCCCTATTTGTGATAGAGCCAGTTATGAGGGTCCCTCGGTATCTGTGGGGACTGGTTCCAGGACCCCTGCAGATCCCAAGTTCTTATTTAAAATAGCATAGTATTTGCACAGAACCTAAGCACATCCTCTTGTATACTTTAAGTCATCTCTATATATCTCTAAGTATTTAATATGATGTAAATTTTAAGGGATGTTGACAAAAAAGAAAAGTCTGTATCTATATTCAGTACAGATGCAATTTTTAAAGTCATTTCGCATCCGCAATTGGTGGAATCTGAGAACATGCAACCTGAGGATACGAAGGGTAACTGTATACTGTTCAGCATTTAAAATTCATACACAGGTGCTCAACTTTGAAAATCAAGCCCAGCATGCTGACTTCATAAAATTCTCAAAGGGCATAAAGATATTAGTCTAACCATGAAGGAAATTCTCCAAATCCTGGGGTTTTTAAATCAAAGTTGCCGGCAAGGAAACTCAATGTATTTATTTTCTGTCTGTTTTTAAAGTAGGAACCAAGAAGAGACAAAATTGGAACTGGAATCCTGCCAGCAAAGCACAGCCTCTCTGCATGGATGTTGTGAAATACCACCACAATTTCTTCGATGTCACCAATCGCCAACTTCAATCTTTTCCTCAAATATTGGATATATAAAGTGCCCTATAAGATATGTATTTATTCTGACACTTGTTCTGCTGTGAAAACAATTTCACTCTTCACTGTATTTTTCTTGGAAGTTGACTAGAAACCAATAGCTCCCCGATCCCTCCCATGTGGAGCTAACCTGCACCACAGCTTGGCCGTATGAACTGCAAGAATCTTCAAGAGTTAAACAGTTGAAGTAAGAACTATTTTGTCAGCTTCTCTGGGAGTGAGATGCCAAATGTGGATTTTAAACAATTATCCCAGATGAATCTGAAGTTGAGGAGCAAGAACATCTGATTTGATTCCTGTGAGAAGAATCCTAACCACCACCTGGTGTTATATGTTGATGCATTCTACATGCTGACTGATCCCGCCAAAGCACCACCTAGAAGGCACTTCCTGGAGGTAGTATTGCCCTCCTTTTGTAGTTGAAGGAATTGAGGGAGAGGATTAAGTTAAGCTTCAAAGCATCTAGCAATCTGATTCTTTGAAGCTGAAGTTTTTTTTGTTCTCTCTTCAAAATCCCCACAAACTTTCTCTTTTGTAAAACAACTCCACCAAATTCAGATATCCAGCCTCCTCCTGCACAGAGGGCTTGAGGAGGAAGGATCTGGACTAGGTTACATAGATTGGGTGAGCCCAGTTTAAAATAAAGACAGTTATGTTGGGCTGGTTCTCTTTGAATGAGCCAATCGTGACAGTGGTGGGTGGGTCCTGAGCAGAATAAACCAATCATGATACTCGTGAGTGGGTCCTGAATAAGCCAATCATAGTAGTGGGAGAAGGTGGCATCCATTTAGATAGAATAAGCCAATTGTGGTTGGGAGCTGAGCCTTATTCAAATAAGCCCATCATTCGTGGAAAGTGGGGGTTCCTAAAAGGAAGAAGCTGGTCCCTCTAGGCCATTCCCTTTAGGCCTGTGGCTCCATTCTTCATGATAAGGCTAGAGGGAAGGACTGGTAGGTATGTGGCTTCTGGAAATTTTTCTGAGCTCTTAAGAAAAGACCTAAGTAACAAGCAAGGTCATGTACCACTGATGGACATTTGTAGGGTACTTTCATAATGCCTGAAACTGGAGTGGTCATCTTGCAATCCAGAGGGTACAGCTGGGGAGGGCTGACTAGAAAGTTAGAAGTGTCCCAGGTTAGTGATGATGGCTTGGAACTGCTGAAACAGCCAAACCTGCAAATCTACTACAGGAGCTCTCATGTGTGAAACAATAAAATGCCCGTTGTTCAAGGTGTTATTTTGGTCATGCACATCTAGCTAGGCGTTATGTCTCCATAAAGAGTTGGCAAAACAAATGACTAAAACATTTTACTGTCACCAACAGATGCTTTATGGAAAAGAAAGCAAAGTGTCTGTGAATCCCTGGATAGAAGACTTCAAAGCAATTTGTCACTCAAGGGAGGACTCTTGGAGTTCTTATATGAAAATGAGTTTTGAAGCACAGAGAACATGGGTTTAGAGATTTCCTCACACCTTTGTCAGCATTGCTTCTATGTATTATTAGTTTAAATTTCTCTATATTATTTGATTACGTTCTACAATGGTGTGGAGAAAAAGATATGCAGTCATCCCATAGTACTCACAAGGGATTGGTGGCAGATCCCCACACATGCTCAAGTCCCTTATCACAAAATGGCATAATATCTGCATATAACCTATGCACATGCTCCTGTATAGTTTAAGTCACCTCTAGATGACTTATGATAGCTAATACAATGCTAATGTCATTTAGTAGTTGTTATGCTATATTTTTGGGGGGGGATAATGACAAGAGAAAACTCCGTACTCATTCAGTACAGACGTATTTTTCCCTAAATACTTTTTTCCATCCTGGTCGGTTGAATCCTCAGATGCTGAAGTGGCAGTATGGAGGGTCAACTGGATATGAACATAGAACTGCACTGTGGCAGACGCAGAATTCTCAGCCCAGATATGGATTTTTAGCAATCCAAGTTTTCACCAAGGTCAGAGTGACATGAAGCCATTTTTCATATGTGTCAGAACTGTGTGGAGAAGTGTCCCAAGTGAGAGACGATGATTAAAGAAAGCAAGGAAGCTGACAGAGAACATGTAGCTAAGGCAGGGGCTACATGATGGTCAGGGAGCCCTGGGAGGAAAAATTCAGAAGGACCTAGAGGAAGTGAGGCCTGCTCTATGGGAGAGAGATATAGAGGGAGAAACTCAGGATTATAGGGAATGACTCAGGCTCAATTTTATCTGATGGATTCCAGCAGGGCCTAGAGTCATGTTTTTCAACCTGTGAGCTGTGACCCTTAGCAGTTCATGAAATTAGCTTGGAGAATTATGCCCAGCACTTAAATGAAGGCTGGGAGGTGGGCCAAATAGAACAGGAAATAGCACAAAGCATTGCACTTTCAATTGTTATGTTGTACATGGGGTGTGTGTGTGTTTATGCATGGGTGTATGAGGTGCATGTATGCAGGTGTGTAAGTATGGATGTATGTGTATGTGTGTGTAGTGTATGTCTATGTGTCTGTGGATGTATGTGTAATGATGTGTGTTTATTGCATGTATATATTTGTATGTGTGGTGTGTGTATATGTATGTATGCACACATGTGTCTGTGTATGTATATGTGAGTATGTGTATGTGAGATGTGTGAGTGTATATGTTTGTGTGTGATGTACATGTGTTATGTATGGGGTTTGCATGTTTACTATATTACTGAACAGCTTTTTGACAATCGTTGTGGTTCATTGGCCATGAGGCTAAAGCACCATGTTCTCTTAGGATAGCGAGAGCTGGAGGAAAGTTCTGTTCAGTCTGGGTCAAGAGCAAACGGAATGAAGTGATCTACCATAACTGCTTACCTTCTGATCAGCATCTTGCGGGGCAGGGTCTGGACCTTGGCCTCCCAGCGGAAAAGTTCCCTCCAGAATGACTATATTGTTTGGATTTGTTTATGCACTTTAACAGCTTTGAAAACAGACAGTAAAACCCCAGGCTGTGAATTTGTTCAGACTGGAGGTGCTTCATTCCTCCTCAGGTCACCTTAATGAGACACTGTGAAACCCACTTAGAGACCCAGAGACCTCACGGCTCCCGTCAATCAGGCGACAGGAGAAAGACTTGAGTTAGTAAAGGCTGCAGCAGGGAAAAAGGCTTTTTTTTTTTTTTTTTTTTTTTTTTTTTTTTTTTTTTTAAGACTCAATGCTTCTTTTCCATCCTCTGGTTAAGTTTTCTTTGCGTTGGGAGTATACTAGCTGTGTAGACTTTGAAACCTCTTAACAGAGGAAGTCTCACCTTTGTTCTGTGGGTCTAGGAAAATAGCTACATCTAAGAGTCAAAAGATGCAGAGTTTTACGCATTTTTCAGGCAGGGAAAGTCTCACTCATTTTGGTTCTCAAACCCCATTTGAATCCACAGACTTTAATGCTTTATGATTCCTCTCCTCTTCAAGGATGCTACAGATAGCTGAGGATGTTGTACTCTGGGAAATTCCCATCAAGGATGAAGAAACTTGCTTTGAACAATGCAGTCTATTCAAATAGCCGGAAGCTATTGTGACAGGCAGAAGCTGTTAGGACAATTTATGTGGAAGCGCAATCCATTTTTGGTGAATGCCAACTTCATGCTCCTACACTAAGCCTGTCTCCCCACCTTTCCAAGGTAGCCTTTGTCTTCGTCAAGACCACAGACAGCTCAAATGATCCAGGCTTCAAGAAGCTGACAACCAAGACACTGCAGAACATTCAAGTCCTGCAATTTCTCGAAAGAAGAAACGCAAATGGCCAACAAATATATGAAAAAATGTTCAAAATCTCTAGCAGTCATGGAAACGCAAATGAAAATTACACTAAGACTTATTTCACTTGTCAGAATGGCAGTTATCGAAGATACAATTAATAATGAATGCTGGAAAGAATTGGGGCAGGGGAAAGACACAGTGATATATTGTTGGTGGGACTACAAATTAGTGGCAACCACTCTGGAAAGCAGTATGGAGCTTCCTTAAAAATGGAGAAATGGAACCACCATCTGACCCAGCTAACCCACTCCTTTGCATTTACTCAAATGAACTAAAATCAGCATATTATAGTGGTATAAACACTTCAATGTTTATAGCAGCAGAATTCATAATAGCCAAATTATGAAATCAGTCCAGATGCCCATCAGTGGATAAATGGATCAAGAAAAATGTGGTGTATATACACAATGGAGTTTTACTCAGCCATAAAGAACAATGAAATTATGGCATTTGCTGGTAAATGGATGGAAATGGAGAGCATCAAGCTAAGTGAAATAAGCCAGACTCAGAAAATCAAGGCTTGAATGTTTCCTCTCATATGGGGAAGCAAGAGGAAAATAAGAGGAATAAGGCAGGAGTAGGGATCAGATATCATAAATACATAGGGAAGATCAGTGGAGTAGAGGCAGGAGATTGAGAGAGAAGAAGGAAGGATGAGAAAGGGGAGGAAATATGGATTTAACAAAATATGATTTAACAAAATATGATTTAACAAAATCACTTATGCATACTAAGTGCACCACAGGGAATCTCACCTTTATGTATATGTAGAAAATGCCAATCAAAGATAAATAAATAAACAGATGAAAGGAAGGTCAGTAGAGTAGAAGAGGAGGAGGAAGGAGGGGATGGAGGAGGAAAGAGAAAGGAGGCGGGGATGGGGTTTGAAATCAAATTTCGTGCTTGTATGGTTTTGTCAAAATGAATCCAAATATAATCCAATTATACTGTGTATAATTCTCTAATTTAAAAAGATATTCTTTTTAAAAAGATAATATCTGTACCCACTGGTGACAGGTGTATGTGACTTTGGCTCCTTGCTCAGAGCAACATGGACCCCGTGTTTCCCTAATTAGTGGTTGTCCTGTGGTTAAGAGAACAGTGTCAGAAACACTGGGGTGGGATGCAAGGGTGGTGGGTGTGGGTGTGTGTGTGGGGTCTGTCCAAAAGTGCTTGGAGCTGAGGGGTCTCTTAACATTGCCCTTCAACCATAGCCCCTGGGGGGCTCAGAGATGGAGGATGGAGCTTTGGTCACCAACCAAGGATCACTTGCCATCCCTTGAGTCCCAATGCCTTTCTCCGAGAGTCGATTTCTTCCTCTTGGGGAAGACCAGTTCTTTCCTATGGCAAGTTCTGCCCTTCCCGCTTCAAATCCGTGCTGTGCTTCAACACTATGGGTACTTCTGCCTTTCCAGAACATTCTCTTACTGACCTCACCAAGACAGATGGGTTGGGGATGCTGTTATGCAGATATGAATTAAGATCCTCACATTATAAAACAGGGAACATGAAGAGGCAGCACACTGTAGTGGAGACCATGAACTTCATATTTAAATGGAGTGCTGCTCTGTACTCTCACTGGTTTTTTTTTTTTTTGTTGTTGTTGTTTTACGGGCTGGATGGTGCACCCACCTCCCAAACTCATATATTTAATTCCTAAACCTCAGCCACCAAAAATGTAAATGTATTTGGAGATAGAGGATTATGAAAAGGTAATAATGGGGTCTTTAGGATGAGCCCTAATCCAATATGACAACATGTCTGGTGTTTTTATAAGAAAAGGAGATGAGGACACAGACACACACAGAGGGAAGACCATGTGAGGTCACAGGGACAAGAGGGCCATCTGCAAGCCAAAATTAGAAGCCTCAGGGGAAACCAACCCTGTCCACACCTTGATGTCAATCATTCAGCCTCCGCCCATTTTGTGATATTTGTTATGGCATCTTAGCAGACTCATAT